AGGAGGTTAGAGAGCCTGTGTATGACGATGATGAAGATGGAGATTTGTTGAATGGAGATGGTCATGCGACTTTGGTCGTTCGCAAGAGTCTACTGACTCCCATGGGTGATTCAGGAGACGATTGGTTGAGAACCAATATTTTCCACACGACTTGCACAGTTATAGATAAAGTCTGCAAGATGATCATCGACAGTGGTAATTGTGAGCATATAGTGTTTGAAGAGATTGTCAAAAAATTGCAGTTGAAGACGGAACGTCATCCCAAGCCATACAAATTGTTGTGGCTAAATAAAGGCAATGAGGTAAAAGTAGATAGACGATGCTTAGAGTTTTTTTCGATTGGTAGGAAATATTTTTGATAACGCTTGGTGTGATGTTGTGGCTATGGATGGTTGTCATGTATTATTAGGTTGACCTTGGCAGTACAATCACAGTGTTATTCATGATGGGCGAAGAAATACAAATTTCCTTAGCAACAAAGGGAAGAAGATTGTGTTGGCTCCTTGTTGGGAAGGAACCATTCCTACCCCAGTAACCAATAATACTAACCTGCTTTCTATGACCAAGTTTTTAGTTGAGATTGAGCATAGAGACGTGGTCTATGCTCTGTTGCCTTGTGGGAATAATGAAGCAAATGTGGACCTAGACTTACCAGTAGAGGTGCAAAAGTTGCTAGCAGATTTTCTTGACCTGATATCAGAGGATCTTCCTCTTGTGCTGCCGTCTATAAGGGATATTTAGCATTAGATCGATCTTGTTCCAGGGTCGAGTTTGCCTAATCGACTGGACTATCACCTCAGTCCCAAAGAATCTAAAGAGTTGTAGCAACAGGTGGTAGAGTTATTGGAGAGGGGCTAAATCCATGAGAGTATGAGCCCATGTGCAATCCTTGCCCTATTGGTGCCGAAGTAAGAAGGTTCTTGGCGTATGTATGTTGACAGTAGAGCAATCAGTGGGATTATAGTGAACTACAGATTTCCAATTCCCTGCTTGGATGATATGTTAGATCAGCTATTCGGTTCTAAGGTTTTCTCAAAAATTGACCTTAAAAGCAAATGCCACCATATTAGAATAAGGCTTGGAGATGAGTGGAAGACAGCGTTTAAGACGCAGCATGGGTTGTATGAGTGGATGGTTATGCCTTTTGGGCTATCCAATGTGCCTAGTACATTTATAAGATTTATGCATTAGGTTTTACAGCCTTTTATAGGGAAATTTGTTGTAGTTTACTTCGACAATATTCTCATTTATAGCCCAACATGGGTGTGACACTTTGAGCACCTCCGTGTTGTTTTGATATGTTGAGGATGGAGCACCTGTTTGTCAATCAGAAGAAGTGTTCTTTCTTCACTACTATGACCTTTCTTGGTTTTGTTGTGTCTACTGATGGTGTTTATGCATGCAAATTAGTCAAAGATAGATGCGGTCTTGGAGTGGTCCAAACCAAAAACCTTGCATGATGTTAGAAGTTTCCATGGATTGGCGTCCTTCTATCGCCGATTCATCAGAAACTTTAACACCCTGATTGCTCCTATTACAGAGTGCCTTAAGGGACGTGATTTCTAGTGGTTTGAGGAGACAGAGGCCAGTTTTCAACTGATCAAGCAGAAGATGACAGAGGCACCAGTTTTGACACTTCCTGATTTTGAAAATTTGTTTGAGGTAAATTGTGATGCATCTAGGGTTAGCATTGGTGGTGTTTTGAGTCAAGAGGGGTGCCCCATAGTTTTTTCAGTGAGAAGCTATCATGATCAAAGATGAATTATTCCACCTATATTCTGGAGTTTTATGCTATAGTTTAGTCCCTGAAGCATTGGCGTCACTACCTAATACAGAGGGATTTCATTCTTATAATTGATCATGAGGCCCTAAAATACATCAATGTACAACACAATTTGAGTAGACGGCATGCCAAGTGGGTGGCGTACTTGCAAGAGTTCACGTTTGCACTGTGGCACCAAGTAGGGAGTCTGAATCATGTTGCAGATGCACTAAGCTGTCGCATGTTACTCCTCACCACCATAAGCACTAGAGTTGTCGGGTTTTAGGCTTTCACTGATTTGTATGTAGTAGATCCTTCCTTCGGGAGGATAATTCAAGAGGTAACTGATGGACAACATCATGATTTTATTTTACATAATGGTTATCTGTTTTGCGGATTACAATTGTGCATTCTAGATTGTTCACTAAGGCAGCAGATTATTAGATAACTTCACAATGAGCGTCACTTTGGGTGAGATAAGACATTGGCCCTGATCTCGTCTAACTATTATTGGCCCAAATTGGTCAGTGGTGTGACTCATTATGTGGAGCGTTGTTATGTGTGTTAGTGGTCCAAGGGAGTTCTCACTAATGCGGGCCAGTACACTCCTTTACTAGTTCCTGAGGCCCTTTGGTTCGATGTCTATATGGACTTTGTGTTGGGCTTACCTCGTACCCAATGAGCCTTGGATTCTATTTTGGTTGTGGTTGACAGGTTTTTCAAAATGGCCCACTTTATAGCTTGCCAGAAAACAATGGATAATGCCCGGATCGCCCATCTCTACTTCAAGGAGACTATGCGTTTACATGGTTTTCCTCGATCAATCACTTCAAATCGTGACACCAAGTTCATAAGTCATTTCTGGAGAATTTTATGGGAGAAACTAGAGACATAGTTGAATTTCAGCAGTGCCTACCACCCCTAGACGGATGGTCAGACCGAGGTGGTGAACTGGAGTTTGGGCAACCTTTTGAGGTGTTTGGTAGGAACTAAACCAAAAGCAATGGGATTTGGTGTTATCTCAAACAAAATTTGCCTATAACAAATAGAAGAACCGAACCACAAGAATGAGCCCATTTAAGATTGTCTACGATCAAAATCCATCCGAGGTGCCGAACTTAGCCCTTATTCCACATGTAGGTCGTTTGAGTCCTAAGGCAAATGAGATGGTAGAACATCTTCGGGGCATCCATGAGCAGGTGAAACTGGCCATTCACGAGAGCAATGCCAAGTACAAGACTCGGGCCGACAGTCATCATCGTTAGGTACTTTTTGATGCTGGTGATTTTGTTTAGGCAATATTAACTCGTGATCGTTTTCCTGTTGGAGAGTATAATAACTTAAAGAGCGGAAGATTGGACCCTATGAGATACTATAGAAGATCAATGATAATGCCTACAAGCTGCACCTCTACAGTCATTTGAGGACTTTTGATGGCTTTAATATGAAACACTTGAGTCCTTGTTTTGTGGATTTCGATGATGTTTTGTGGATTTCGGTGATGTTACTATGAACTCGAGGACGTGTTCCTTCCAACCAGGGGCGACCGATGCAGGAGGATCTGAGTCAGATGATGCTAAGTTATCAAATAGCACGTTAATGGGGCTGAGATACCTTGAGTTAGCAGATTAACGCAGTCATAAATTTAAGTCTAAGAAGGGTTGACACTGTTTTGACCATAACTTTTGATCCGTTTTGAGTTACAGAGCACACAATATATCAAATCGAAGCTCCCGACAAGCCCTACAAGACTTATTGCCTTTGGCTGTGATGGACACCGTTAAAATCCCAAAAAATTCCTGAAAACATGTGTTTGGTTTGAAAATTTTCCAGTTTTTGATTTATTTGAATTTTTTTCATAATTTTATTATTCCTTGCGTAATTATGGTTTCTAGCTAATTTTTTAGTATTTAAAGGATATTTTCATGTTTTTTAGGAAAATTTTTTTCATTATTCTGATTTTATAAAGATAATAACTGTTTAATCAGTTTTCTTTTGGCGATTCTCTTGTGTTCTTCACTATAAATTATTTGTCGAAACTAACCTGCGGAATAATCGATATTCTGCATGGCGTCAATTGTAGCCTATATCTTACTATGTTCCTTCAATTACTGTGTTTCTCACGTTGTCTCAAAAACAATTCAAATTAGTTTCACTTTGCCTCAAACCTAAATCTTCAGCATATTTTGTACGAAAAAATGTTTCTGTCATTAAGTTTTAGGGCATAGAGAAATAAAATCATACTCCGAGCGGGGTTTCATCCAGTTTGTAACAAATGGTTTGTCATTGGCGCTTATGATTGAATGTATAATGTGAGAAACATAATAGTTGAAAGACAGTATAAGACATGATATGTAGTTTTAGGGATCTTAGTGTAATTTTTTAAGTTGATAAATTCACCGATAAAGATAGAATAATTGTATATTAAACACTTGACCCAATCTGTTATGGCTCCTCTCCCCTTCTAATCAATTGTGGAGTCTCTAACTATCTCATACAAAAACAGCAAAACATTATTGATACGATTCAAGATAACTGTATACAACATTTCTGTCTTTAAAATCCATAATGCCACCTAAGATGTAGAAAATCCGATAAAATCATATACCAAACTAAAAGTAACTGACCCATGAAAAGTAAATAATAATCAAATTTGTAGAACATAATATATATAGAAAAGGCATTGCGTCTGATCATCAGGATTTTCAAATCTATTATCATTGGAATGCCTATTCATGCTCTCATTGTTATACCATTGAAAAACCAGAACTTTCACAACTCCCAGCAGCCATGGACACTTGCTTTTTAACTCTGCTTGAAACAGTAGATCATAAAAATTACAGTTAACAACCTTCAAATACTCCAAATTGTTTTTGAAAAAAAAATAAAACTAACAAATAATGATAAGGATGAAGAAATGGTACCTTCCCTTGTTCCCGAAAATCTGGGACTTTGTACCTCTCCGGTGTTATTTCTGTCAACCATTTCCGTTACAATTCAGTTTCACACACACACGCACGCACACGCACAGACACAGAGAGAGAGTGAGAGAGGGAGGCGGGGAGGAGAGGAGGGGAGGGACTAGCTAGTGAGTCATAGACACAAAAAGAAAATACAAAAACTATTCATGTATAAAGGAAAAGAAACCAAAATATGAGCATTTGCCCAAGAACTGGAATTGAAAAAAATGCAGAAAAGAAATGATTTTGTTCTCACATCCGATTGCTTCTGAACTGCCTTAGGCTTCTTCTTGGGCTTCCGAGGTGGTTTCACTCCAGTCATAGCCAAAAAAATCACTCTCAATCTCTTCCTTTGTGAGGGTAAGCGAGAACTTAGGTCTCTGGCTATTCTCTCCCTTCCACAGAGTCTTTTTTTCAGTTGCCACCACATTTCTCAATCTAGTGGATTTCACGGTTGCCACTGGACTCTCTTGCTTCCCTGCATGTTCTCCGCTACTGCCGCCGGCGCCGCCGCCGCTGCTTCCACGGGACTCGTTTGGAGCCTATAGGGACCTCTGCGAGACCGCTAATTCGATGGCTTGGGAGAGCTTGATATCTCCGATTCTTTCTCTTCAAGAACTGGGACTTTCATTCTATCGGCGGCGACTCTGAGATCGGTCATGAACTTCTGACGGACACCCTCGATTCCCTCGTTATCAGAAACACCACCGTTTGGGTTTAATGGAGGTTTATTCGGGCTCTTTGAAGGATTAGAAGATCTGGGTCTGATCAGATCATTTCTGCGTCGGGTTCTTCGGTTGAAGCCGTCAGAATCGGTGGCGTCAGAAGTTGAGGATCTGCTATGAGAGACGTCTTGCCGGTGGCGATGGAGTTGTTGTTGTCAGATTTCATGCAGTGGAGTAATCTTTGGTTGGCCCATTTCAAACGCGGCAAGGTGAAGTTGTGAAGATTTCTTGTTGATCTATCTGGAGGCACAGCCATCAAATTGAGAGCTTGAATTTCAATGGGTGCGACAGTGTTTGTGTTTGCGAAAGAGATGGTTTGAGGGAGGTGGGGGTGGTGAGATAGAGTTGTAGTGGTCTGAAAATTACCGGCTAGCACGTGTGTATATATATATATATATGACAGAAAGGTTTAACGTTCGGATTGGCTTACGGGTATTTGTTTCATAATTAATGGTTATTTTGTTAATTTTTTTTTCTTGGCTAATTTTCGTTTTCAGCAAATCATTTACATATCATAATTGATTTAATTTAATTCTTTTGCCTAACAATATATGTACTTATGATTTTACATATATATATACATATGTATCTGCATATGTATGTACTTGTGCTTTTTTTTGTTGTACCATGTGTCTTACTTCAAACATCGGTACCTTTCACTAAATAGCGATGTATGAAAAAAAACATTTTCTCCATTTTTTGGACGGTTAGTTATCAAAAATTTCTTTTGAAATATGTACTATACTTTTTTTAAATGGAGATGTTTACTTATTATTGTTACTTTTTTTTTTTTTAAAAAAAAGAGAAAAATAGAGAAAAATTTCTAACGGTCATAATCCAATTGTATATATGTAAATATATATGGGCAATGGTGCGATAATAGTTTTAGTAATTTCATCAATGCATTGTTATATAGTAATTTATCAAGTTTTAAATTTCAGGTGTTCATATATTTATAAGTGGTCGAAATTATGTTGGTCTAAAGTTAACAATTTAAAATTAGAATTCCCTATTTCCTTTTATACAACATGGAAATCATTTATTGTGCCAAAAAAAATGTAAAATATAATTTATGAGCTTACAAAAATTAATCCTAAATTTTGAAGTTTGATCACACAACTAGATTAGTAAAAAAAGGAGTAATTGTTTTATTCTGGTCAAAATAATAACAGTTTGATTTCTACATTTTTCTTTTAAATGCTTCCATTTTTTCATGTGCACTTCTTAAATGAAGACGCTATCTGTCATAATCAAGCTATAAATGGACACGCTTTTCTTAGATGCATTAGCAATACTTCTATTTAAGAGTTATTCATCCGCTTTTCTTAGATGCATTGTGGTCAACTAAATCGAAAAATCGGAGCGTTACACGAATATATCCAGTTTAAATTCTAAATATCTATATAATAAAGTACATAGAATTTTAAATTCTTAATTTATCTTGAACTTTTTTCGTAGTTCAAGTCACTTCAGAGTTATTCATCTAACCAAACTACTTGAACCTCAAATATTTTTGTCTGCCCATAACTTTTCTTACGTGTGTGCATGTTTCACGCTTTCGAATATCCCCAAATTGACTCACTTTCTCTCTCCACGCCCCTCTGTTATTTCATGGACAGATTTCCAAATTCTTGCATGGTGCCCATGCTTCACGTCAATTCCATCGGCAGATTCTCCATGCCTTATTCACTCCCCTTAGCCATATATACACAACCTCAAACCTAATGACTTTTTACCAGCTAAGCACTATTAAAAGTATTCTTTTTAATTTTCATATTTGCTACTAGTATAAAAATTTGTTGATTGTCATAAATGATTGATTAAAAAAATATCCCTTACAAAATATTGAATTTGAATTTTACATATTTTGCTAATGTTATTTACTAAATAGTTTGTGCTTATTATTTTTTCAGAAAAGAGCACACCTTTCACCACATCATAATTAAAAAGTAAAAGTTGACTATAATTATAGTTGTTACTCAAGTGTATATCTTATTAATTGTATGGGTATGTCTTATTTATTTACATATGGATAGAAATTTCATTGTCCATGAATTGCACAGGTCAATCGCAATAATTGTAGTGCGATTGTGAGTTAGTAATTTGTTTGAGTTGTGTTTCTTTAAATAAAGATTTGTAATAATTACTAATTCATTTAAATAAGTTTTATACCCAAGTTAAAATTGTTGAATGTTCATGTTTTTGGAGGAAACTCTATCAAATTTTAAAAAAATATCAGTTCCATATTAATTGACAAATTTTTAGGTTATATAGTGCTTTTAGACATGAGTAATTGTCTGAATTTTTTTTGACTCTGTACTTTTAGGCACGGACAATTACCAGTACAAAATATTTATACTCAACCTATTATTATTATAGCATATGATGAAAATTCCTTCTACCAATCAGTAGTTATAAAAAATGAATAATTCTATTGGGACCTAAAAAATTTATGTAATTTTATGACTTAACGATGTGTCAAGTGATATAGTCTCAATAAAGAAGTCTAATAATTAAAGTCACAATAATTTTATTAGACTATGTCTTTGTCATATCAGTAGGTCAGATTTTTAGGTCTTAATAACAATACTCATAAAAAATTAATCTCATATTTATCACAAAAATTGATAATAATAATAAATTTTAATGTTTAAAATTTGATTACACAACCACATATACTATTTATAAAAGTCTCTTAATGATTTCTGTTTTCTTTAGAATTGCTTTCTTTTTGAATAGTTATTTAATAAACTTTTACTTGATGTATTTGTACCGTATGTTTTGAATATTTATGTGGCTATCGATTCATGTATGTCAAAAGAAATGGTTCTCCATTTTTTTTGTGTACCAGTAGAAGTTACATTGTGACATATACATTTCTTATTTTTCAATTGGAGATGCTTCTTTATTTTTAGTATTTTTTGTGAAAATTGGAAAGTGAGTCCCGTTACATGTACTTGTTTGGAGATAAGTTCTAAAAAAAAATTTATAAGAGGTTAAGTTCATGTTTAAAATTATATGTACTGACTTAAATCTGTTTTTTTTTTATCTAAAAAATACCCTCCCTTGAAAGGAAGTTAATCTTTTTTCTCTCATATCTATCTATATTCATATATAGGTTAAGAGTTTGACTAATATTAAAATTGTTTCTCTTATATATATATATATATATATATATATATATATAATAACATTAAAAAAAATAGTAACATTCAAATACAAAAAAAAAAGGTTACTATGAATTTGAATAGTAAAATTCAAATATATGTTACTATTTGTTTTATTATGCTACTGTTTTTGTTGACTATGTAACTGTTCATATACTATTATTTTTTAGTATGTTAATATTCAATGTTATTATTATTTTTTTGAATATTACTATTTTTTGTATTTGAATGGTACTATTTTTTGTGTTTGAATTTGAGAGAAATAATTATTGTTAAGTATGTTATAGTTTTTGTTAAGCATATTACTATTTTTGTTGAACATGTTAATATTTTTGTTGAACATGTTACTGTTGTTATTTTTTAAAAATATTAATATTGAATGTTTCAATTTTTTTTTATGTTTAAATGCTACTATTCTTTTGTGTTTAAATGTATTATTTTTTGTGTCTAAATGATAACTTTTTTTTGTATTTGAATGTTACTATTTTTTATTTTTAATGTTACTATATATATATATACACTAGTCATTGCCCCGTGCTTGAAAACACTATATAATAAACAAAAAAATTGCAATTAATTATGAAAATTAATAAAAAAAAATGATCCGAAAACATTCATATCAATTCAAAATTGCTTTATTTTTATTGGTCACTTGTTTTTTATTTTTATTTTTTTAGTGCAATTGGTATCAGTTGTTTTTCTTTTTGGTGATTAGCTTAAGGTTTTGTTTTTTGTTTTTTATTATTTTGAGAACTGTATGTTTGTTTATAGGAGATTTTTTTATTTTGTATAAATAATAGCTTGAAGGGTGAATTTATGGATTAGATATTGGTGATTAGGTTGGTTTTAAATTTTCTTTTTTTTTGTTTTCACATAATTGGTGTGACTTATTTTTTTTTTTTTGGTGATTAAATTGAGTTTTATTTTGAGTTAACTTTTTTCTATTAAAAATTCAACTAACTTTCAAAAGAATGTGTAGAACCTATTAATTTTTTTTAATATTTAATATTTGCTCATTCTATAAAATCATACAAAAAAAATATTTTCTCATTTGGGTACTGATTGTAGTCTTGTGTTGTTAGTAGTTATGGGTTTAATTGTTAAACATGCAAATTTTGAGTGAATAAGCAATTGAAAATAGAAATACACATTTAACACATAACATTTATGTATAATAATAAATTTATGTCAAAGCATGCACAACTAAATCAAGACAAAAATTAATTAAAAAGAAAAAATATTTAATGATAAGAGATAAGAGAGAGAGAGAGAGAGAGAAAATGAGATAATGTGTTTAAAACGTCTAAAAGATAAGAGAGAGAGACAGTTATATGAGAGATAGAAATGTTAGAGTTAAATCCAATTATGATTGTCGGATCAGTATTTATGAGATGATCTGAACCGTCTTTTATGTTCAGATTACGTTATCTGTTGGATATATTTATGTTTTGTCTCAAAATTATCTAGACCTCTCTTTGTCTCCAAAATTCAAATTCAGTTCTACTTTATTATATAGATATAATATATATATATATATATATATAGAGGGCAGATAAGGTGGCGTGTGTTTAAAACGTTTAAGAGATAGAGTAGAGAGAGAGTTAGGAAATGTTGTTGGGCAGCAAAAACAAAATTAAGTACTCACTCTAAACCGTCAGATCACTATTTATGAGATGATATGAACCGTCTTTTATGTTGTGATTACGTTGTCCGTTGGATGTGTTAATATTTTGTCTAAA